AAAGCTCGACGGTTCAAAGATATCGCATCTACCGATTGACCGAGTATATCCGACATATGTTCACTACGGAAAGTCCAAGGGGAAACCTACTTATCCAGATGCAATTGATTCTTGCTTGTAAAGTACACACTCGTCCGTGCATTCTTTATGTTATAACCATTCCCCATTAATGTGGGGGATTGTTGGGTATGTAGCAAGAGTTAATGGGAAATTGAGGGAAGATGAAAGAGGAACTTGGAAAAAGTTGGAAACTTGAAAAGTCCTCTTATGCTTTATTGAAAAGACATTGAAAAGACATTTGTCCCTCATCGGTGGTGGAAAGAAAAATAGGAGAGTTTAAATATAGAAACACTCCTATTAATTGTTAAAAGGGTTGGAAAGAGGGACCCCCCTCGCGCCGTCGTCGTCGTCGCTCGCTCGGCTTTGGATTTGGATTTGGAAAAATGATCGATCGAGAGATTATTTTTTGGACAAAGTTTGTTTTAATTATTTTAGTTAATTAATATTTAAATTTCCCGCAGTGACTTCGTGTTTCTGCAAAGTTTATTGAAATCAGTAATTCTGATTTTTTATACACAGACTGGTAACACAAAGTTATACCTTTAAAGCTTGTGTAAACAATCATTAATGCTTGCATTAGGATAGACTGTCTACATCACACTACTTGGGCGTGGCCCTTCCCTGACCTTGGTTAATGCAGAATGCTTTGTGCATCATGTTTTCCTTTTTAAGCTCTGATCATTAGCATGTATATTTCACTCATTGTATGATTTACCAATTTGCATAGCCTGTCCTTTTTTAAAAAAAAATAATTGGACAGGAGGGAATTAATCATTTTTGTAGCTTCTTAGAATTCGTTTATTTCACGCGGCAAACCCCCAAGGAGGCGGATTTAATTTTCACAAGACTACACAAAGAAAAGACAACCTTTGTGCCGGCCAAATGTTACAATATTTCCAATTCATTTATTTTAGCAATGTTGTCTCTATCTTCATCTAAGAATTTCCTGCATTTCCATTCGTAATTGAGATTGTGCTTCCACTCATAGCATCGCGCGATGGAGAGGAGATTCAACAGGAACCTGTCGAACGAAAGCAGAGGATCCTCAAAGAGCTTACAGAGGATAATTGCAGAGAACAGAAAGCCTGCTAGTCCTGTCCCTGACTTAACTGATTTTATGAATGACATGTTTTTCGGGACACCAAGTCCTGATAAAAAAGCGTATAATCTGAAGGGAATTAACACGAATTCGATAGAAGATGATGATGATTTCGACTCAAGCACAAGGAGTGTTAGCAGCAGGCTAACTCAGGAGTGGCTTCAGGAGGCTAAGCAAATGGTAGCTTCATCTCCTGGTCGTGGAAGTGAGTCGCCCCCAGGGCGGCTAGTGACTTCCCCTAGGTTTGCAACATCTCATGCTAGAATTGATTCTCCTACTGAAGGCAGAGATCCCCTATCTAGGTCTGCTAGAAGGTAATTAAAGCTCTTTTTTTTTTTTCGTATAACAAAACATTGTATTTACTCTGATCACTGCAATGGAATTGTACAATTATGATCAATATATACTACTCCTTGACACGAAATTTAAGAAAATGAAGAAGACTTTTCAATCTTATAATGCTAAATTAAAGTTAATAATTTGAAGTGTAATTATTTAGAACCTCAAAGCTACAGACTCTAAGCTTGAAAGAGATCATCACGAGTTATCGTGATCCGTCCCAATTAGCCCAAGTTTATGAACTATTTCACTACTAATTTTTCAAGCATTGGTGTGGGTTCTAAAGTTTTGACATCTGCACCCAAGTCCGAGTAATTTAGGTAGATGGTGATAAGTTCGGGTAGAGAAAGAAAACAACTGATAGTTGGCCTAATCAATTTCGATATGTACTTTAATACATCTATATATGGTATGGTGATGGTTCAAGTAGGAAAAAAGAAATAACTAATAGTTAAGTGTGAAACTCGCAAAAAAATATAGCCAGATATTTTTAATTTTTTTTAATCATGAACTCAAAATTTTACCATAGATTTCCTTTGCTGGAAAAACAGGCATAGATCAGTGGTGGGATTCAGTGAAGAAATCCTCTCAAAAACAGCAAAACACAACCGCAATAAATCAGAGCCGTTAATAATTGATCCTCCTTCAGCCGGCACATCCCCTTCATCAAACGTTCAAGATTGGTTCTCCAACATATTCAAACCTCCAAATGATGGGCCCACCGAACCCACTTCTCCCAAGCCCAACAATGAGCAACCCGCACTCACCCTCCCGCCCCGCCAATCAATCAGTCGCCGAACGCGGTTCCATACAAACTCCAATGCACCTCAGCCACACTCTATCAACTCTCCGAAACGAACTTTCAAAATTCCCGCCACCGGCTCAACGGACAATGTATCACACTTTTTAGATGACAAGCCACTTTCTCCACCAAAAAGTCTCATCGAATCTTCTCACCGGAGGTCGATTTCATCGACGACATGCTCGATCCCGGTCGAGGTACTTTCTCCTCCGAGGAATTTCGTAGAGTCGACTCATCGGAGGAGTATCTCTGCGTCCACATGTGCATTTGAGAAGGTTTTACGAAAGAACAATGTGAACGGAGATGAAGTCAAGGAGGAAGATTTGAAGAGTCAGGAATTGAATCGGTTCTTGAAGGAGCAGAGAGACAAAATCGACAACGTTTTTAGTGGACAGATAAAAGGGAAAGCCAAAATTGTGCTGTCTGGACCTTCCAACAGTTGAGTTCCAGCTGATATTTTTCCAATTTTCGATCGATAAATCGTGTGTTTTTGCTTTAGGTTTCGGTTATTTTACTGAATGAGTTGAAATATTCTAGGTACAAGCTCAATGGTGGCGGCAATTTGCTATGCTTGGTTGTTGGAAAATAGGACGAGGGTTAATGAGCAAGGAGGAGATGCAAATACAATTCAGGTGGTGGTTCCTGTGATGAATATGACAAGAAGGAAAATGTTGAAGCAGCGGCAAGTGGCTCGGCTTTTTCATCTTGTTGGTCTTGATGTCAAATCTCTACTCTTTTCTGATGAGGTATGCTACTAGTAGCAAGATCTTGAGACTCTTAATATGAAGTTAAGCAAGCGCTTGGCCATTTTGGATCAGATTTTGAAATCTTCAAAAATCTGTTTGGCTGAAATTTGATCAGATTTTGATAATAAATTTGATCTTCAAATATTTTCAAGTTCCCAAAACCTAGTTCAGACCGGTTTTTGGATTTTGGAAACTTCCACACACAGAACTTAAATTTTTTTTTCAAGTTAAATGCATGCCCAAAAACAACTTCAAATTCCAAAAATGAACTTCAAAAACTCAATTTTTCAAGTTTTAACTTCAAAATTTATGGCCACACGGGGGCTAAGTTTCCTTTGTCGTTAACTTTGCAGCCTTGCTATGTGCTTTAACATTGATGTATATATTGTACTTGTGAACAGGATCAGAGAATACTTAGTTAAACACTTAAACTGAAACATTAATCTCAGATTTTCCATGTACCTTTAGGAGACTCAATTCCACATGCTTTAGCGAGTTATATATATATATCATGTTTGTATATTGATTTATAGATTAGTATGTTCCTCCTTTTATAGACTGCAATCAAAGATCTAATTGTGCATCATTTAGTAATGCATAGGATATTTAATCTTCCCTAGAATGTCAGAACAGATCTTGCAAGTTATACCACTAGTGAGCCATTTGGGATTGATGAGCTAATGCTGATTTTTCTTCTTCTTTTGGTTTTGAACAGGTTGATTTGGAGACACTACTGTTGGCTAAGCAGCTAAGCATCCTTGTAGTTGGAGAAGACATACTCAAAACTAATGGAGAGGTACTTATAGCATGCTCTCCGAAACAAAATATATAAGTTAAATCAGGGAAAGAAAAAGCCTAGCAATAATATGGTGAAGCTTTCTAACATTTTCTCCTAACATTTGTCATACATGTAGGCAGTATCAGGGTGTACTGTTCTTACGGACAATTACTGTGAGGAGGCTTATGAACTACTTCAGACGCCTATCTTGAAAAAGCTTCTGGTACTAAATAAGATCCATTCATCAAATTAACAATATAAGCAGATGAGAAGGCCTTTTTGATCTCTGACACTCTACTTCTCAGCTCGCAGGCATACTTTTAGACACACAAAATTTGAGTGCATCTTCTAAGGTGTCGATGACAAGAGATGTAGAAGCAGTTCAGCTGCTTTCAGTTGGCTCCACCCCTAATTACAGAAATGCTTTTTTTGACCAATGTAAGTTTTTTCGTAGCAGCTACTGTAGTATTATCATCACATATTCACAACATTTTTTGCAATAGAAGTTTATGATTTTCCTTGTAGTGATGCAAGATCCAAAGGATGATAGTTTTGTCGAAGTTATGAGGCAGAATTATGGAAATTCACCCATTGAGAGTAAGTTCACTGACAAATCTTGGTGATTCTTTTACCTGCTTGGAATCAAAATACTGATGAACATTTTAGCTTTATTTTCACTAGACACGATTTTTTCTAACACTCACTCTTGTGTTGCATACCCTGCAATTGGATTACCATTGATGATTGCAGGTAGCCATAAATATAGAGCACATCAAGTCTTGGAGAGGAATTCCATCCCTCAAGAAAATACACCAAGTTCAGATAAGAAATCTAAAGATGTGAAGAATGGGAAGATAAATAGAGTGTCACCAAAAACAGGTACTTAACTTCATTTATCCATCTATGCACTTCAAGTTAATTTTAGTTGAATTAATTGTCATGCACAAAGATCATCATCTTCTAGCCTTGGTCCATAAGCTTCTCATCATGTTCCTGTAGAATTAGTTTGTCTTTACATAACCTGGAAAGTTTCTATGATATGTGTACATTCTCTGCAAAAAAATAAAAGACGTCTGCCTAGTTTCTTACCAATATTAATCAACAATACCCAATAAGTTAACACATTATTGCTCCCACAAAATAAAAGAAGTTATTTCCGATGCATTGGTATGGAGACTTATCCATGTGCTTATAAGTTGTACTGATAGGATATGAGACCATTTTAGCTACTGATCTCCCTGCAATATTATGAATGCAAGTGCAAAGAATAATACATTGTCAACATTTCAAGGATCAATTGGCCTAATCATATTTGTTTTCTTCTAGGTAAACCTGCAATATCACCTATACATGCTTCTCCAGCATCACCAGCAAAATCAGCCGATGCTTCACGTGGCAAGAACAAGACCTTCTTCTTAGCAAAGTGGTTTGGTTTTGGGAAGTGAGTTATTAAATCTGCTAAAATATTAGTAATTTCGATCATGCAATGCTTAAATTTAGTCTGAGAACTGTCAAGCGATAGAAAGTGATTCTATTTTTACAACATTAATAGGGAATTTTCAAAATGTTTGGAGAGCTTTTTTGGTTGTTGGTCTTATTTAATTGATTTTTTGTGTCTCTGGACCAGGCTGTTTCCACATGCTACAATGTTTTCTTTTTTTACTTCTGGATGTATTTGGTTGGTTTTTTTCCTATGTTAATCTCTGTAGACCTTGAAATCCTTATGGTAGAGTTAATCTACATGTGATTTTATACGAGAAAAATATGAAATAAGAATAAGAACACCTAAAACTTGTATATGTAGACTATCCTCTGTTTTTCGAATTACAAGTATACTAGCTAGTGAAGTTAAAATTAGATTTTTCTTGTATCAATCTTTATATTATCTTTCAGCACATAGTTATGCATCCCATAATAATTCCTGCATAACTAGTGTGATTACTTCATGAAACGATCTGCCTTACTTATGCCCAGTTCGCTACTGCATAAATGATACTTACACCAGTAAAGTAGGCAAATATCCCACAACAACCAGAGGAATGAATAAACATCCTAGGCATTTGTCTAGCTTTATATTTCACATAACATTATCTCTGTGGAAAATTGATAGTTATTGCTGGTTAAAAGAGCATATTTTTATTCTAATTTATGAAGTAGTCAAGTCATTATCCATTCTGAACATGGAATTTTTTCAGTTATTCTAATTTGTCTCCCATCAAAAAATAGATATTTATGTAACCTGATTTCTTCCCATGAAAATGCTTGATGATCAAGTATATTTTCTTCCTTGAATAACAGCCAGTGTTCAGATTTATATACCTTCATTTATTTCATTCTTTTTAACACTAATGTCAAAAGGTCTATCCAGCCATAAATAATACTGTTATCAATCAAATTTATCAATAGGCTAACCAACCTTAAGTAGGACTATGGCCAGACTGTAGAAAAGCTATGATTTAAAGTCTCCAGCACATCTTTTCACTTGTTTTATTGGCCTGAGCCAAAAAATTTCTGGTAGAACTCCAGTGTATTGAATCTCCCATACTTTATCATTTGTTTTGTCTTATCTTCAGAGGTTCCTCATTTTGTACTCCACCTCTGCCCACATCCCTTTTAGAAAATATGATAAATTACTGATCATCAAATCATTGCACAATAAATTTTGTAAAGAAAGAGAAAACTCTGTAATATTATATAGTTAAGATGTTGGTTTATTTCTGTATGTATTATGGATTTTGCTATGGACTTGGAAATGTAGTAGTTGAAAGTTTGCAAAAGCTTTGTCATTTTTCCTTACATAGTTCATTTTTCTTCAGTTAGTTACACCAAATGCAGAAATACAGTGAAGTAAAATCTGTGTATATAGAGAGAATTTAGAAGACAAAAGTATCACAAAAATAATTGCTCACTTATCAAAAACCAGAGTTGAGAAAGAGAAGAAAACTGTGGGGGAAAACAAACATGGAGATGCCTCTAGATTGGGAAAATAATTGAGCATGTTATGTTATCCAATCTGTCTTTGTCCAATTATGCCCATTTCTTTTTCAAAAACAGCTGTAACTACCTTGCAGCCAAAATATGCTAATTTTGGGCCCCAATTGTTCCCATGTGCCTTGCTCTTTTCCTTCTCTCACCTTCTTCCTAATTAGGCCATGACATGAGTCTCAGTTTTTTCTCTTTCAACCATTATGTTTTCTTTAGCTTCTTTTAATGATGATAGATACAATAAACCAATATTCACTTTATGTAACTTTTCTCATTCTACTTTCCAAGCATAAAGAAACAGGCAAAAATCTGAAGAGTTGTTTGAATTTAACCCCTCTATTGAACCAGAACTTCCTGTTTGGGATGATAAAGGAGTTGATGTCGATGAAGAGAATGGCGGTGATGATAATTCGGAAACTGATGAAGGAGATGTGGATAACAGAACTGGCTTGAAAATGAACAAAGCATGCCTTAAACCAGGATTGAAAATCCAGTCATGAACATCCCAATATACTTCTATCCTCACTTTGTTGAGATGAATCGATTCATTCCCTCTGAATTTCCACTGCAAATGCTTCACATGAATGAACAATTTCCCATCTATCCTTATCTCCATTTCTGGATCAACCCCATCGATAGAAATTCCGCTACTGTTAATCCTGTTCTTGCACTCAATTGAGATCTCATGCATTCTACCCTTATCATGGAACTTAACTCTTGTTGAAAACTTCTTCTTGCCAAAAACATGTTCTTTTCTTGATACAAGAATTGGTTCAATCAGTGCTGGCCTGCAGCCTGTCTTTCTATAAGCATCTTTCTTCAAATCACCAAGAAGTAGAATAACTTCCTCATCACAAACCACAGCTACATAATACTCTGAGCTTGGCTCTGTCTCACCATTAAATTTAGCAGCCTTAAGATCCCAGAATATGTCAACTGGCTTACTGTCCACAAGAAAATGCTTTGAACCTTGTTTCCTCCAGAAGTACCAAGGCTTAAGCTCCACCTTGCAAGTATACTGCCCATCTCCACTTGACCCATCTACTGACACTGATAAACCATGTAACAACAGATTCTTGCACCAAGTAACTGTGATTAACCTGCACTGATCAGCAATTTTCGTCCGATAAACGGACATAAAAATGCTTTGCCCTGACCTAGTAACTGCAGCATGATCATCTGATAACTTTTCCCCTGCTGAGAAACAAGCAGGAATTGAATCTTGCATCATTTAGTTGATGAATCTTGATTGACTAACTCAAAGAGCCTATCAAAAAGGATAAGAAAGAAGTAGTAGTATAATTTTTAAGAGGATAAATTATTTTGAAATGAGTATTGGCATAGAGAAAGAATCCTAGTTATTAAATGTTTGGAAGTAACAGATGCCTCCAGAGGTGATCTTGGCAGCATTGATGAAATACAATAATAAAAAAATATGTATCTGAACTGGCAAATAGATGGCAAGATGAATGAGAGTGAGTGAAAGAGCAACCCCTTTTATATTCAATTATATCTAATGTTTATCTTTCCTTTCATTATTTATTAATACTGTAGTAGCTTTCTTGGTTAGACCCCATTTCCTTTTAAAATGCTTTTCAAAAAGACTACTTTTTTTGAACCCATGGTAGACTTGATTATGTCACAGTTAAAAATACTTATTTCCATGCAATGGTGAAAAAGCAGAGAAGTCTTCTTCACCAGATCTTAAGTTAGTAGATCTTTATGCATACAAATGACCAGTCAAAACCAAAAAAATGGAGTTCCCAATGAATGATTCTTCACATTCTTTTACACTTCCTTTGAGATGTATAATTGACATTATTTGAGTTTATTTTTGGAACTATACCAAGAATAGTACTCCCTCCGTCTCAAACTATTTATCATGATTTTTAAAAATAGTCACAGAATATATACAATTATCGTCTCCGTCCCATTTACTTATCACATTCATTAAGAAAACAATGATTAACATGACTATTTTACCACACTATCCTTATTAGAGGTAAAACATGGAAAGAAATAATTGTATTTTCTTGATATGTGAAAACTAAAAATTGACAAATACTTGGAATAGTAAACCAGTAAAAGCGCACAGAGGGAATATTTCTCATTTTAAAAGTTCAAGACAAAATTAATTATTTTCTTCTTATTTTAGCCTTAGTAATAGTTATTCTCAAAGATTACAAACACCTTAATTATGAGCAAACGACACGTAAATATTAAATGAAAAAAGATTACACATTTTAAGACATAAATATTGAGTAAACCCTCCTATTCCTTTGAACTATTCTATATCCACTTGTCCTAAATAATTATTTATTGGTATATTAATTTGAATGATTCAGAGTTGAAGAAGTTAATTTGAAGAAAAAAGAGGAATCTAGGTAGGGGGAGTGAAACAAAGCAGAATGAGTCAGTGTAATTAGGTGAAAGTGTTTTCAGATCTGGTCCAACTCAATCTTCTTTTGTTCCTTAGCTTCAAGACAAAAGGAAAATGGGAGCAAAATAACAAATAGACTCATCATCATCATGCGTTGGATCTCTAGTGAAAAAGAATCATCATTCATCAATTTAAGATTTTTATTTAGTACAAGTCCCAAGATTTAATGCTATAGTAGCAACACTTGCATACTTAGATTAATTAAAATTAATACAAAGGGAAACATCATCTAATCATTATATATTTTCACAATAAACGTGATTATTGTTCTCATAAATTTGAACTGTCATGGTTATATCAAACAGTAGGAGATATCTCCTGCATTTAATAGTGAATCTTTGGTTGGGTAGCCTAAGATATTGCTCCCTTAAAGTCTTTTTTAGAAAGAAAAAATATTTTTCACTTTAGGAAATTAAGTAGTCATTAATTTTGTTTTCAATTCGACCCAGTCCTTACTCAATAAATATAAAGGGATTAATATGGTGAAAAAAAGAATCCTATTAAATTGATATTAACTAATAAATCACAATAGTTTAGTCAAATTATCTATTTAGTTAATCTAAGATGAATTTAAGCTGTGAGGGTGACTGAATTAGTTGAGCAGGTGATCTCGCCTCAGGTTTGAGAAATCCTACGATAGAGTCCACAAGACTTGTGTAGAGCGAAACACTTATGTGTGAATAGTGGCGTGGTTCCATCATCCATGTCAACAACAAAACAAAACAAAAAAGTGATAGAGGACATTAGCCAAACAAATAGGTCGTTACAACTTACATCCAACAAAGCCTTTGAAGACAACACCTTAAAGCAGTTTCACCAAATTTCCAAATAACTTTACTTGCTTCTAGTGGCTACACCTTACTCGTACAATCAGAAATTTAAAGTAAATGCTCAAACGCAAAAACCATAGCTTAACAAAATATAATGTCGAAATCTGCAAGTATGAAGCAATATGTGAAAGTTAGGCCTAATAAGATCCAAGTCCAACCAACAAATACCAAATACCAAAATTTGTATAACGTTGGGCCAAATATTTCAGTGAGAAGGCATGATGTCTGGCAGTCTGGCCCATTTATGTTTAGTGTAGTATCCATATATATATATAGCCCAATAACATCATTTTTTTTCGGGTTTCCATGCCGGTGTTAAGAGCCCACATTGAAGCCCTGACTAACTCCAAATTGCGCACTGCAGGACCTATTCGAGGGTGGCGCTCCCAACAGAAAAATCAAACTCGAGACATTTGGTTAAATGTGAAGCAGTCCCACCATTTCACCACAACCCATGTTAATCCAATAACATAATATATTTGATCAGCTTGCACAACCAAACTGGAACGAAAAGGACAGCTAAGAGTGCCGTACAGGAAACTGCTTCGTTTATATGTTTCAATCCTCTTTTGTTTGTTCAAATACATACGGCATTTAGGAGTTTCAAAATAGAAAAATATAGTAGTTGTTGAAGAATGAAACAGTCATACCTCAGTGGTTAATGAAATAGCTGATCTCTTTATATGGACTTGAACAATCTCTCTCTAGAGGTAAGTTTATAAACAAACATTGGGGCACGCAAACCCATGTTCTTTTCATAGAACTAAGGGCCCGTTTGGCCATGCGATATGATATCATGATATGGAATCATGATATGGTATCATGATATGGAATCATGAGATGAAATTGAAGGTTTGTTTGGACATGCGTTATGGAAATTTTTTGTGTTGTATATTTTCTCATAAACATAAAAAGCCCATAAGTTATAAAACTATTAAAATAGCCCCAATTGTTTAATTCAATCTTATCAAGTAAACAAAAATTATAAAATACGCATAATAAATTATTACAAAATTATTTGTTCTCCACTTAAGTAATTGTTTCATCTAACTTTAATTTAATAAAAAAAATTGAACATAAATTGTAGTGTATTGGAGTAAATAAGACAACACATTTCACTGCATGTTCAATCTAACTTTCAATCTAACTTTCACTTCTCATCAATATTTGAGTAATAAATGAAACACCTTTCATGGGCTCTTCAAGATTTTATTTCTCCACAATTGTGAGGTGCGAGTTAAAGTGACTATATGTTGGTGAGAATAATAAATTTTATGTCGGTGAGACTAATAAATTTTATGTCGGTGAGAATAATAAATTTTAAAAAGTAATGATGTGATTTATAAATTTTATTTGCATATGAAACAAATGGTTAGTAGATATAAAATGTGGGGGTTGTTTTTAACAAAATATAAAACTCATGGATCAATTGTTGTATTAAAATATCTCAAATCATGTGATGATTTCATATCATGGTTTTTGGAGAATATGATATCACCTCTCATGATATGGAATCATGAGATGAAATCAGCGTAAAATCGCATGTCCAAACGCTGATTTCATCTCACGATACCATATCGGGATATGATATCGCATGGCCAAACGCCTACTAAGTATGTTGTGTATATTTTCTAAAATTGACATCATATTATTATATGCTGACACCTATGCTATAAAAAGATTAAATGGTGTACGTACTTGTTCTAGAAGTCCTAGATTCGGCATTGCTCTTTTAGGTTTTTGAAATTGAGTTAGGTTCTAGATTCATTTCTTTACATAGTATCAGAGTAGGACACATCAAATTGCCCACGCTCCAGATGTCCAAACCTAGGCATGATGTGAGTCGTTAAAGAATGAAAAAAATGTCACATCGATGGTAAATTGTTGCAGTGATATTCAAAACCAAACAGGCACATGTAGTGTTGCGTAATACATGTTGGAACTTTGGAACAAGTTCCTCTTAACAACCTACAAGAAAATGGCCTACCTCATTTCCTTCCCATGGATAATATATGACTTTGTGCGGCGAATTATTCCAAATTATGATAATGACATCCATTTCATTCACAAAAAAATCATATTCTAATCTCTTTTATTTGCCTTTTTCTTTCATCAAAATGTTATTTCTCCCACCCAAAACCACCACCTGAATTACGTGAAAGGCTATGAAGAAGTCTATTGATTATTTTGAAAACAATAACAACCTCTTTTTGAGTCAAATTATATTATCTGATAATCGAAATTTACTGATTCGACTAATTTAGATTCACATTTAAGGAAAAACTTGATCATTTTACTAGGAATTTCTCCATTTCAACGCTAAAACTTGAGACCACGTATTCATAACGAAGAGACAATTCATATATCTCACCACATTTCTGGATGATAGTAACAACATTAATTATTTTCATCACATGTGTAACTTGTTAAATGTTAAACAAACATAACTTTTTTAATTCATAGTGTCGGTGAATTAATTTCTTTTATGAGAAAAGCCACGTGGTAACAGCTCTTATTAGTTGTGAGCATTTATCGCATCATGAGTACTACACAAATTCTAATTTTATAAAAAAAAAAACAGATACTTGTAAATGAAACAACTGGGAATGGAGCACTGAAAATCCAGTGAAGAAAACGTTAATATACAACCCAATTATTTTGGTTAGCACATGTCAATGTTCCCTAGCTTTTCCAATATTCTAATTAACTTAATTACTATATACTTTGGCCTAGCATTGTTTTGTTACATTAAGTACCCATCACAACCTGCATTAGTTATATTTATTTATATATTTTAGTAATAATTAGGAGTTATTGATAAAAGTTTGTGCGGGTGACATATACATACCTCATATTCATCGATTTGATATAAATATTAAGTTTGTATACGTATTTTTCCTCGTAATTTTGAATTAATTTTACTTCTAGACGTCTTATAATAAAGAAGTCTCGACCTCTTGGTGTCTTATACGTCTTCTTCATTCTATCGAAGCAGCTATAATTTTTATAATTCTCCGATCCTATTGAAGCAGCTATAATTTTTTATAAAGAAAAGGAAACTAGACTACTAAAGTACATTACTAATCAAATTATTTTAGATGCCATTTGCACTTTCATCCCTTATTTAGTGTTGGTCTTTAATTTGTATCCCTCATAACAAATAATATTTTTTTTCAGCATTTAAATTTATCATTTTGTATCGTAATATTCCACAAATTATGCGCATGCATGACTT